AATACGTCCTTTATGCAAGCTGTCGTTCCACCCCTGCAGAAAACGCTTGTCAAGCAACGGTAAAAGCACGGGCTCAACAGCAGAGTTGCATCGCAAGCGTGGCAGGTGTGGCTGCAAGCCAAGGTGCACCGCTTGGGGAGAGTCTTGATACTCTCCCCCAGCAGCCAGCAAACGACAGCGATGCCAAGTGACCGGGGAGGGGGGAAGGGGAGAGAGAGGAGAAAACGGCAAAGGAAGGCTGGATGCTAGTTACCCTTCGCGGCTGGCTGGGTTGCCAGGGCAGGAGGAGAGGTGGACTTCAGCCTGGGTCTCCGAGTAGCTAAGATCAAACACAAAAACCACCTTCAGGTCCTCAGAGAGCCTGTCGTTGCATGGACCACATCAAGACATAGCTATAAACAAGAAGACGTGGCCCTGCTTGGGGCAGGCTTCGCTGTCACGGCATTGCTCCCTGTAACTTGATGCTATTTTCAGCTGGCGTAGATAGCCCCGCGGCAGAGCAAACCTCAAAGTGGACGAGGCCTGCAGCGTGGACAAGCCCCCAAAAGGAATCTGAAAGCTTACAAATGGAGCAATTTCTAATAACGAGGCATAAGGGAGCAACCGCATCGTGGATCCACTTTTCAGTATTGCCATGAGAGAGAATCAAAACCTCTGAACGGGCTCATCTCTTTGATGCCAGAGTAATCAAAAGCAGGAAGGGAATCACAGGCTATTTACCCATCACGGTTCTTGCCGTTTCCAGTGAAGCAGGTGAAGGCGACTCCAGGCCTGGTCTCCGCGTTGCTACGGTCAGACACAGAAACAATCCTGAGACAGCAAAAGTCTTGCCACCAGAGCTGCAAGCAGCAACTGGCAGCACCGGTTTACAACACCCCAAAAGTCCAGGTTTAGTGCAAGACCTGCCCTTTTCTGGCAGCGTCTCATGAGTCCCTGACCAAAGCAGCTATCAGCTGCCTTGCCATGGTTGCAACTAACACAATATGACTCAGTAGTTAAATGGCTCTCCGTTTGCAGGAAAATGGCCAAACGGCTACTTCACCAAAGCGATCCTTACATCTCGCCGAAAGACGCAGGCAGCCTTTGCAGAGAGAACATCAGAGCCAAAGGACCCCGCTTTTGGATTTGGAATTCAAGAGGAGAGGTGGTAGGGACCTCTCTTTTAAATGCACGCAACTACAAATGCTCAACACTTCCTTCTTTCGGCATCAAGGGATAAACTGTGTATCACCCTATCAACTCATAACGCCATCATAACGCCAACTCTCCTTACAAGTTCCATCATCTTGGCAAAGGGATACTCTTTGTTATCACCACGATGATCATAAAAATGGACTAGATCAGGCCTTAGTCTTGCCTAGAATCTCCCAAAACCTCATTTCTGTGGCTTAGAAACCTTAGATGCCTGGCACTAAGAGTGCACAACAACTCTACAGAGAAATGCTCATAAACAAGTAACCAACTGCAACTTTACTGTAGAATTCTAGCACAGTTTTCAACCTGTAGAGTTACTCATCCCACTGTACGTTAAAGAACAAGCCACTTCATTAAGTTAACTTACTGGTACTTTAACTTTTTTATCCTAATTTTGCATAGGGAAAATGCACAATGCAAGACATACATAAAGCAGTAGGAAGATAGATCTGTTTTTGTGTATTCATTTTCAGCTCTTGGCTAACACAGTGGAGTGTGATTCTAGTTCCACAAAAGGCAACAACATTGCTGGTGAAATTTTTCAAACCTGTACAAAGATGAGGAAGCTGGCGGTAATAATGAACAGTGCTAGTAATTTCTTTGGGATTTCTGCATATTCCTGGCCTTTGTAAACTGAAACCCCTGAGTTCAGGGCCCTCCTATATGCACTTTTCCTTGCAGTCACAGATCCAAGTCACTGACAAATTAGTGACTGGCTTTTTCCCATGGTTAAAAGCTAGCACAATAGTCTTAAAAACAGCAGGTAAAGCTCTTCTCACCTAACGACAAGTTTTTGCATCCAACGTACAAGAGAAGCAGATGTGACACTTAAGCACCTTATCCAACCATGTGAAATAGCACATAACAGGCCTAGGTATATCACCCTTTAAAGAAAAATGAAGGACATAACCCCACAGGACGATCTAGCAAATTGCTTATGAGCATAAGGAAAACTACTCTCGTTGTCTCCTTCTAACATTTAGTTCCAAATTTCTCAAATGTTGCAGTGGTTAGAATGAGTTTCTCGCTTTCTCTCTCTCTCTCTCCCCAGTTACATTTTTGTACAGGGCAAGTCAAAATAAACCCTCTGTTTACCAAAGCATTGCTGTGTCTTTTGAGGGACTGCCTAGATGTCAGGAGAACTACAGTGAAGAGAGATATCATTACCAGCTGAGGTTGGTACCATTTCTGGCAAGCCAGATGTTTTGGAGCTTGAAGAAAGAGGCTTCGTTTCATCTAAATACGAAAAAATAATCTTGTGTTAAAATGTGTATTTACCTTAAAGCTACTATGGATAGCACAGGACTCATCAGACAAAAGTTGCATTATTAAAATGGAAGTATTATAATGGAAAGTCGCTTGCAAGTCAGCTAAGAATTATGTCCCATGAATTGTTAGGCTGCTATGCAATTCAGTGTGGATTCATGTGATTTAATTATTCATATTAAGGAGAATTCTTACTAGTCAAGAATTTTAGCGCATGTATTAACAATCGCAGAGAGTAAAAAAACAACTTTTTGATCTCGGAGACGGTCAGTGAGCCAGCCAGTATAAAGCCAGTCAAAACAAACTTTTCAGCTGATTATTACCCAGAAATATATGTTAAGCCCTTCATTCTCTTCCACGGTTAACTTCTCTTAGCACATGAAAAAAGCTGAGGTAGGTCCACAGTTGGGAAACCATAAAAAACAGTAAAAAACCAAAAACAGTAAAAAACCCAAAACAGTAAAAATAATTAAAAAAAACCCCACAACCAAACAGCAGCTCCATACCCCAATCACCTATAAAGATGAGCAATGAATACAGTTGATAATCTAGTTAATGATGACAATGAGCGGTATGAATTACTAGTATGGTGACAACTAAAGCAAAGGAAATGTTCCAAAAATAGCAGTGAGGACAAGACAAAGCAAGAAAGTCAACTTATCAGTTTTACCCATTGCTGTTTCTAAGAAATGATGTTCTGTGGTAATTACAGGCATGGATATTTCCAACTCAGCAGTATCTGTAGCTGCAGAAAAAAAATGTACATAAATCTGAGAAATAACTTCATGTGAATAAATTAATGAAGAATTTTTGGGGAAATAAAAGAAATTACACCTTGCACTGTTTTGTAGAAGTCATTAGGACAGAATATGATTTTAAAAATTGTACACTATTTTTTCTGAATATTTTAAATACCCTCACTTACTGCTTGGCTAGAGACGTTATCTTCCTCTCCCACATGTGAAAATTTTTATAAAGGGAGCGAAAACTGATGTATATAGTTGTACATTTGCCTTTTATAGCACCTGAAAAAAGAGACCCATAACTTCATATTTTCATGAAGGTAACAATTCTTTATAAAGTCTAGGAGAATTATAGGAAGTTCAGGAGATGAATGCCTCTCTGTACCACTTCATTAAGTCACTTAGCTCTATGCGCTTAGCTCTTATTTCTCAGTTTCAGCCAGTTTTTGTTCACACCAGATTTGGTCCCAGGTATCCAACATAACAGAATTAACTAACTTGATTTCAAGTAATTGCCTAGGAGTAGGAATATTTATATTATAGCACAACAAAACTGAAATCCTGAAAACTGTGTTGGGCTGCCAAGAGCCAATAGGTTATACAGCAAAGAACTTAAACCGCAGCTTTATTACTCAACATAAAGTTCTGGGCAATGAAATGCTTCCTTTCTTCATCAGCTCCTCCTCCCCTTTCCCTGTCGCCCTAACCTCTCACGCACATACTTGTTCGTGTTCAAGCAATGCCTAAGAAAACTAAGCATCCTCACATGCCAAAAGTCTCAGAAGAAACAGCAACCTATGTAGCAACAGCAACGTCTGTAGTCCACAGTAAAGCTTAGCTAGAAAGGCCTGGACTGACATATGGCTTTCTAGTTTTAAGTCAATGTACGGAGGAAAAAAAAAACACAGGAACGTGTGTAGGCATTTTAAACACTTCCTTTACACAATGAGAGGGGGAAGCAGGGGGACAGCAAAAGGGAGGCAGGGAGGGAGGGAGAAAAAGGGAGAGAAGGAGAGTAAAACCTCACCACCAAAAAATATCATATCCTACTTGACTGTAATTCTATTCAACAGTCTTTCGCCTCACAAAACTTAAATCTTTTCTGACACACCGATTTGCTCAGTACTGAATTAGTATTATTATTCTGTACGCTAGCTGCAATTTTGCTTTGAACCTGTGTTAAGCCTGACCCCAGGAAGTAGGAGGATGCCATTATAGCATTTGAAAAACTAACACACAGGGTAACCCCCATGTAGGCAGTGTGGAAAAATTAACTGAAATCATCAGTGTGGAAACAGTAGTAACCTTTTCAGCACCAAAAAAACCACCATCACCACCAACAACAACAAACCAAAAAACCCCATGCTTCTGAAATAACATTACTATAATTTACCAGTGTCTGGTATTTCTGGAGTTGCAAAAGTTTGAGGAGTAGAAGTAACATGAAGAAAGCCATGTGAAGCTGGAAAATAAAAACAAAATCATGCTATATTATTTTGAAATGACAAGAATCATCATGCAACAGCACCATCCTCTTTTGATGAGCTGAAGAAACTTCTAGCTAGTGTCTAACGCATTATGCCCTGCAAAAAAGTAGACCAGAATGTACAGTAATTATGTGTGACTTGAAATTTTTCCCCCCCCCAAACATGCATTAGAAGTAAGCCACATAATGCAACTGATAGCTGCAACGGTTAGAAGAATCACAGAAATAAAGTTAAAAAATTAGTTAAAAAAGAAAAAAAGAAGAAGACAAAGCAGCTCGAAGAAGAAGGATAATAAATCATGAACAATAATTAGCAGACTGGGACTATTTCGAATTTTTGTCTAGAATCCAAGGATCATGCAATAGAACATCCTAGTGCTGCAACTGGAGAAAAAGAAAGGATGACAAAACAGGAACTGTACTAAGTGAAACATATGAACCGTCTTTTGTCAGACATGAATGGCTGACATTTCCAACCAATTTTGCCTTTAATTATGAATTTCCTTCAAAAATGATTTTCCTTTAAAAAACAAGAGCATCAAGCATTACATTATCAGCATGCTAATGAAATGAAATCTTTCCAACTGGCTCTCCTCTTATGTAATTTTTTTCTTTTGGATAACTGTCAGCGGCCCCAGATTAAATATCCAGCTCTTATGTGAAAGTTTCCTCATCCATAAATACAAATAATAACATCAGAGAAGTTTTCTAAGGATGAACTAGTCCATGTCTGAATCTTCAATGGCATATTTTTATAGTATCAGTTTTCAAAGTACAAGTATGCCTATATAGAAAGACTAAAAGGAAGGCTACATTTTCGAAAGGTGTTGGAATATCAGCAGTTTCCACTTATCTCTGTAGTATCTGAGCACTTCAGCTGATCAGGATATTCCATTTACAAAACTTTGGTGTGGAGAGGGATATTTAAATTTAGCATTTTCTATACATCAGATACATTTTTTAGGCTAAGAATTACATGCTGTAGTCCAATCTATCATGGAAAAAATCCCTCACTAGTGCAATATTTCATACAAAATGTCATAAAGAAATACGTTATTTGATATAGTACTTCCATATCTGCAGTTATTCTTCATCTATGTCAAACTGAACAAGCCATTTAATGAAAGGCACCACGTCTCTTCTGGAAATTCCTAACTGTCAAGACAGTTAATTTCATGAGAAATCATTACCAGATTTGGTCGGTTGCACTTCTGTGGTGCCAGATGTTTTGGATCTTGAAGAAATAGTTTGTGTTTCATCAAAAGCTGAAAAAAGAATCTGAACTTAAAATGCTGAGAGACTTGTGACTGAATGGGTTAGCAGCAAACAGCTTAGTGAAGGCTGTACAGTTCAAGACGATGCTAAAGCAAAGCTAAGCAAGATGGCAGATGGCCTGAAAGTCAGCTTGGAAACAACTGTGTCAATGCAACGGAGATGATGGCTTGTGATACAGTCTACTGGGCTTGAAATTTGAGATCTGCATGCCTGAAAGAATTCTCATCAGCAAGGATTTACACCTCCTTAAATTTTCTAGGATACAAAATGCAGCTATACAAGAACAAATCAGCTAAAAAGGATATGACAACACTGTCTTAAAGCAGTCAGTTTTTAAGCCAGCAGCAAAAATGTTTTTCAGACGATCACACAGACACAGAATGGTTGAACAAGCAGCTCTGTGTGAGTGTGGGTAGCCAAGATCCATAAGCAGATCTTAAAATTATCTTTTTGCAAATCTAAGTGATATTAAGATAATGAAAAAATCATGGAAATAATCTGTTGATTACCCATCTCCATGTCTCTGGTTTCCAGAGGAGGGAAAGA